AGGGGTTAGGGGTTTAGGGTTTATCTGACCCAAGATAAGGCTTTTGTAGGCGCTCTATTTTGCAAGCAGGTATGGCATGAGAAACACAAACCATCAAATTCTACAGCTCAACCAGGACGGAGACTGCGATGCCCGTAAACCCTTACACTTACCCTAATCCTAACCCGCAAGGCCCTAAGCCTTAAACCCTAAACCCTACTTGTAGGATGGTGGGACTTAGTAATAGTATATTATAGGTATAACTATATACTTATATCTCCAACTGGGGTATCCATAACCTTACTTGCTAATTCCCCTGATCCAGGCTCCTAAAAAAGAATCCATATAAATTCTAAACCCTCAACCCTGAAGACCTAAGCCCTAGACGTGAAATCCTAAACCCTAAACCCTAAACCCTAAATCCTAAACCCTAAACCCTAAACCCAGGACGGAGACTGGGATACGGATGACCTGGAGCGATTGGTCTATGAAATGCTGGGGGCCCTGCCTCGGTAAGAGAGTTGAGGGTTCAGGGTTTAGGGTTTAGGGTTTAGGGTTTAGGGTTCAGGGTTTGCCATGGGGTAGCACGTAGGCCAGTATCTTGCGACACGGCTGAGTCGAATGCATCCTACCATGGCGATGACTTGTGAAAGCCTGTCCATCGAAGGCTTCTGCTTCTTTCTCCCACCGTGTATATGGTGGCTAAATTACCCAAACCTATTCCTTCTAGGGCTCACGCCTAAACTCATGCCAGCTTTTTCCTTCTGTCTGAAGCGGGCGGAAGCGGGGCAGGGCGGCCCGTTTTGGTTGGTCCCAAACCAGGCAGCAATTTCGCGTGAGGTTCAGGTAATGCCCCTTATTACAACGGACCAGTACTGGTTTCGGTCCGACCTGGGCGCTTCCGTGCCCGTGGCTGTGCCGGTATACTGGGCCTGTCGCGATCGATTGCAAGAGGTTTAGGCGCCACCCACCTACAGTAGATGGGCAGAGTTTAGGGTTGAGGGTTTGCAGGATCGTTGCAGGGTTTGGTTGTAGGGTTACGGCTTTGGGGATGGGTGTAGGGTTGAGGATCTTACAATCTACAGTTGAGGGTGTGGCGATGAAAGTTGTAGTCTATGGTGCTTTGGGCTATTTTAGGGAGGTGGAGCTCCACAAAGACACTAAACCTAAATCCCTAAACCCTAAACCCGCCAAGAACCTGCAAGTTCAAAGGTTGGTGACGTTTTCTGCTTGAATCGATCCATTGGGTCCTCTGAGCCAGCACGAAGACTGAACATTGAACCCTAAACCCTGAACCCTGAACCCTGAACCCTATAAGCCCTAAACCCTAAACCCCTTAGGGTTTAGGGCTCAGAGTTTAGGGTTTAGGAGTTGGGTTTTTGCGTGTGACGGCGTGGGGAGGCTCAGCTTAGGTGCTGTTGATTGTTGACTTTGAGAGTTCTGTAGGCTTAGGGCGTAGGGTTTAGGGATTAGGGTTTAGGGTTTAGGGTTTAGGGCGTAGGGTTCAGGGATTCGGGTTTTAGTGTTTTAGGTTTAGGGTTTGGGGCTTTAGGGTTTTAGGGTTTAGGGCTTAGGGTTAGCTTTTCTGTGGGTTTTAGGGTTTAGGGATTAGGGTTTTAGTGTTTTAGGTTTAGGGTTTGGGGCTTTAGGGTCTTAGGGTCTTAGGGTTTAGGGTTTAGGGTTTAGGGTTGGTTTTTCCTGTTGCTGGCCTTCTAACGGGACGGGATGCTTCGGGGCAGAGAGGCATGCGAGCAGTTTGGTGCCCCCGTGCCCTATCATTGTGCACCTAAGGCCAGGAAGCCAAGCACAAAATTCCCAATCCTCGACTCGCCCTAAGCCCCCAAGCCTTATGCTATCCTGAAAGGGACTCCTGTAGAAGTTACCTACTTACGGGCTTAATAAAGATCCCTGCAATCAACCCTTTTTCCCTAAACCCTAAATCTTGAACAAGCCCTCGACCCTAAACCCGAATTAATAAACTGTCAGCAGGATGTCTTCCTTGGAGAAGTCGTAGGACTTAGACAGCAGGAAACCCTTTTAAAGGCTCGTTAATAGAAAGCGTATCACGAGGGGTCTAGAAGGGTTACTGTAAACTGATTAGGATTTTGGGTTTGGGGGTGTTTTGGGTGACTTCATACGCAGTTAGTACGATGCCTCATTTAGGGGCTTTACTTAGTCCCCGACCCTCCCAGTAGAGTTTCCGCCATGTTTGTAGGCCCGAAACTCTTCAAGCTGTCTTCGACTCCTGGTGAAACCTAGCCCTAAGCCTAAGGGCCCAAAATGCATGAAAGGCTTTCAGAGTTTGATAAGGGCTCCGCACAGATGTGGTAAGGGTTCTTCACGTGTTTTGAGGGTTACCGGACACTTTTTAGGGTTGAGGATTTAAGGATTTTGGGTTTAGGGCTGGTTTTAGGCTGTAGGGTAAACCCTAAACCCTAAACCCTAAACCCTAAAACCTAAACCCTAAATCCTAAACCCTAAACCCTCATCCCTAAACTCAAGGAAGCTTATTAGAGATTTGTGAGGCTCTCGGGCGGCCCTTCAACTTCCTGGGCTTGTAGGGTTTAGGGGGGGTTCGGGTTTAGGGTTTTTAGTTTTTAGGGTTTAGGGTTTAGGGTTTTTAGTTTTTAGGGTTTAGGGTTTAGGGTTTATGGTTTTTAGTTTTTAGGGTTTAGGGTTTAGGTGTTAGGGCCTTGTTTGAGACAGTAGTTTGAGACAGAGGAAAACAAGTTTTTGACAAGCGAAAACAACTGGAGACAAGGCTTTCACAAGAGACGCCAAATCAAAACACCAAAAGGCAGCAAATGGAGGTTTTATGACCATAAAATAGATTGTAAAGTCTCTTGAACTGGGCCTTACAAGACAAACCTCATAGGGCCTTTTCTTTCAATGTAAGCAGGATTGTTAAAGAGTCCACAAGGCAATTGAAGGGTGAATAAGACTTGAAACGATCGTACATGTTTTTTTTTTTTCGCAGGGGTAGCGGGGGGTCACCCCCCTGCATCGAACGCGGCCACGGGGTATGGGTGGGCCGGCTGTAAAAAACTAGATTTTCCAGGATTGCGAATAAGATGCAATATATTATAAGACTCCTCCGGTGTCCGACCGCAAGTTTGATCGTGTCTTCTGAGATTCGGTAAGATTTTGCAATGTCACACCATGATTGTAAATCCTGTGTCTCAATAAGATGCAAGAAGATTTGTCTGCGGCGGTCCGCCGTAATGTTATGTTGCAATTAAGGTTCAATCAGATGCATGGATTGAGATGCAATAAGATGTTGCCGGGCCCAGTTTGACAAACATGCTCCCACATATGCGTTTCGCTGTTAGCCTTATTAGCCCTGAGGTTTAAAGCCCTGTAGTTCCAGGGCGGCTTTGACTTTTCATCGAGCTTGCATTTTAGTGGACTGGGGCTGTGGATCAAGAGCACGACTCGCAGGTGCGCAAAGGATAAAGATCAGTGGTGTCATAAAGTCAAAAGGGGCCACATGATGAAGAGCACCAAGAGAAACATAATGACAAATGACGACACATAGAAGAGAGAGCGAGAGAGACAAGTTAGCTAGTGTCAATGAAGACAATGCATGGTCAAAAGATGACCACATGTGATTTGGTATTTTGCAGCCTAAAGCCCTGAGGTTTCAAGGCCCGTGCTTCAAATAAACACTGGAGTAATGACATCATTCCAGCATGGATCTTCAACATGCAGTGAGTAGTGCGGTTCAACAGTTCGCGGTTTGGGGCAGATTTCATGCTAACATATAGGGTTCATGGTTTATAAGGTGTTCGTTTTGTTGCTTTGGGGTTCAGCTTTATGCAGTTTATGCAGCCGACCGAAGATGCAACATGTAATTCGTGTTAAGAGCCGGGACTTGTTGCCTGCCCCTATACTTCGTGGACCTAGTTATAGGCTAGCACGTCCCTTGATGCTGCAAGTTATCCCAGCTGGAGCGGTTTGGTGTATGGTCGGGACCACAGGTTGGGATTTTTTAGATCCCTTTTTTTGAAAGTTTTATGTATTTCTGATCCCACTACAAAGCTCCTCAACTGTACCCGCAGCCCAAGACCACTCGCACGGATGCTGTGATCCAGTCGTGTCCCCACTTTATTGAGAAGGTTTGATTTCGGGTTCTTGGTGTTCTTGGTCGGAGTGCATGAATTTGTTTTTTCTGTGCGACGGTCTTTCCGTTCGACCGGGGTCAGCGCGACACGGAGTTCACGAGAAGGCACGCCCACAAACAGTGCAGACCAGAAAGTAAAGCTTACGTCCTCGTGCCCTACCTTGCGAACTGTGGCCGCCAGTAAAGCCGATGGTAATATGGTTGCGCAGCATCCACTTGAGTATGACGACCCACTGAAGGAAAGTGTCCACAAAGCCGAGCATGTTATGCTCCAACGCATGCAATGCCAAAAAACGCGTTCAGTCTTAGGGCCTAAGCTGCCCATGTCGAGTGTTCCAATACCTGTGCAAGGCCAAGAGCGTGGGGAACATCTTTTCCAAGGCAAAATCAAAAAATCAAGAGCAGACCGCAGCAACAAAGTCATGAGAGAGCAGGCAGACTAAGAAGAACACAGTGAAGAATCATTGCCAGACATGAGAAGCTTAAAAGCCAAAACACTAAAGCATAAAAACAACAACTCGACGATAAGTACCAATAAACAAAGACGGCGGCGGAGACGGATGAACATGGTAGTAGTAGTAGTAGTAGTAGCAGTAAATCAAAAGTGTTACTGTTATTATTATTATCAGTAGTCGTCATCATGCTTTTAATTGAACCAGATGGTGGACAAGCACGCCAAGTAACATCAACGTAACAGCACCGGCAGCAGCAACACTAACATAGCCAACAGCAACATGAAGCGCGACCACCACCACCCGCCATCACCACCACCACAACCACCACCACCACCACCACCACCACCACCACAATGACGACACCAACAGTAGCTCAGTAGCTCACTACGTGCCCACCACAACCAACAATAACAACGACGAGAACACAGAATGACAACATCTTCTGCATCAGTGAGAAACACCATGCCGAAATCCCTTGCAGATTTCCGATAGCCTGTTTCAGGGTCCTGAAATTGGATGCATGATGCTGACATGCAAACCCATACCCATCCTGAAGACCTGACCCCTAAGCATCCAAACTTGCGCCTTGCACCCCAACAAACCAATGGGTCACGTTCCGAAATCCCAGCATTGGTGAATGCCTTGAACACGAAACCCGGGAACCTGAACCCGGAGATTCCCACGCATTATATACTTGGAGCTCAACGTGTGGTCTGCGTAGCAACCGCAAAGAGTTCGGGATTCAGAGTCGTTGGGTGACCTAAATATATACTAAACGCGCACATGGACCCTTAGGGCTATGTTCGAAACTCCTGAGCATGAGCCTCCGTAAGGAGGTCAGGTCAGGGAAGACGTAGAGATGAATATTCAAGAAGGCACACGAAACACACACGTCAAGGATGAGGGATTTTATAAGTAGTGCATACGCGCCATAACATGAAAAGACCTACTTATGAATCGTGGTTTCTATTTGTCCGGATTCTTAAAGTAAGCCCGTGATTTCAGCAAGGTTGAAGCTCGAAAACGTCCGCAGCGAGCTGGGATGGCGTGTGTCGCTTCGAGCTTGTTTCAAGGGTTGCAGCTGTGGGATTCATAGTGTGGCTTAGTGGGATATTCACAGGGTCTGAACAGCCGGTCCGCTGCAATTCCTGTATACCGTGTATTATATGTAATAGGTTGTGCAGTTGATGCAGTTGTGATCAGAATTTTTTGTGGTTTCGGGGCTTCAGGTCTGGGGTTTAATTAGGTAATGCGAATTGGCTTTTGTATTCTCATGGACCCTGCTTAGCTTGCATGTTGTTATATGCCAACAGCAGTTTCCGCACAGTATGTTCGTGAGATTCAGCGGGGCCATACCCATTGCGCGCACTCCCGCTTCTTCCCCTAAGGCTCCATGTACCTGTTACAGTATATATATATATATATATACTTATTGGGCTTCAAGTACCTATATAGGGACTACTTTAAGGCCAATGTATACACTATGTAGGTGCATGGAGCCTCTGGGTTCGTTTGTTGCCATGAGCCCCAAGTACAAGGGTCATACCGGAGCACCTAAGCTTGGTGTCATGTTGTCAACAGAAATCGCATGTATATACAGTTTACACAAATCAGCACACATGCAAATACAGAAACTTATGTATGACATGCCCCTGCACATATTCTGCTACCCCGAATTCCAGTTCCTAGCTCCGGGTTTCGATTCTGGGTAACCCAATCCTTGATACATAGTCACTAAGTATAACCAAAAATGGGCCAGAGTCCAGGGTTTTAGGGAGTTTAAGGTTTGGCGTTTCGGGTTTCGCCGTTTGCAGTGCCGGACCCTTCGCGCAACACCCTCAAACGCTAAACAGTGATCAGTTACCCCCCGAAAGTAAGCAAATGAATGGCCCAGCACCTGGGCCCATAAAAGGCTGTCTTTATTCTACATACTCTTGGGGTGGCCTAAGCCCTAAACCCCAAACCCCAAAAGACCACCAAACAAAAATATCAAGGATGCCACTCCTGAGTATGATCTTCTGGGGCGCACTGAAATGGCGTCTTGGTAGAGGGTTCAGAGGGTAGGGTTTAGGGTTCAGGTGCAGGGTCTAGTTTTTGAAGTCTAGGGTTCAAGTTCAGGGTTTAGGGTTTAGGGTTTAGGGTTTAGGGTTTAGGGTTCGGGGTTGAGTGTTTAGGGTTCAGGGGCTCGCAGTGAGTCGGTTAGCACGGTTTAGGATTCAAAAATTAAAACTGAGCGCGGGTGGTGCGGCTACAGTGTCAGCGGTCGGGACCTGTGAAAACTACAGGACTCTTGTTTCCAGGCTTTGGCACTTAGCTTCAGTTTGGGGTTTTTAGGATGTAGACTGTTGGGTGTTCTGCCTTTTTCATTGTTGGCAGGGTTTGCAGTAGGCCTTCGGCCGTTGGTTGGCGGGATCAGTGTCCAACGGCACGGTTTAGGGTTTAAAGTTCAAGGTTTGGAGTTCAGGGTCGAGGTTGCGAAGTTACGGGTTTACGGCGTTGTCCTCTCTTTCGATAGGAAGTCATGGTAGCCGCGGGGGAGGTTCTCTGCAATCCATGCTTTGGGATTAATTTAGGCTTTGGGGCTATGGCTGAGCCCTAAACCCTAAACCCTAAGCCCTAAACCCTAAACCCTGAATCCTACCTTTCTTGACGGTTTAGGGTTTAGGGTTTAGGGTTGAGTGTTTCGGCCCTGTCTTTATAGCTCTCGGGCCCAGCACTTAGTTAGACTGTGGGGTCCTATGTCTGCAATAGGCTTCTAGCGCTGATGGCTGAAGGTTTTAGGCTTGAGCGTTTCATGGCTATATGCTGATGTGCTACCAAACAGTAGTTATAGGCGCGGCAACCCACTGGTACTATGTTGTGGGAGGCCCAATTCCAGAGTGGTAGAATGAGTACCCCTAACCTGGACCCTACAGAACCTACCTTTTTAGGGCTTCTTCTTCTGATTTCCTGAAATATAAGTCTCCAAAAAGGTGCGTTCTTCGGGGTCCAGGAAAACCCTAAACCCTAAACCCCTCCGGGTTTAACCCTGAAGGATCTTCACAGCATCCTGCAGGCTTGTACCTTGAACTACCAAACTCTACTTGTTCTGTAGGTTCTTATTATGAGCCCTAAGAAAAGACTTTATAGGGACCCTACCAAAATAGGTTTGGGTAGGTTAAGCTCTTCAGGGCTATGTGGGGGCTCTTTTCAAGAGTTTAGTGAGTCTAGACAGGGCTTCTGTTGAATACCGGGTGCCAGCAAGAAAAACACAGAAGTTCTATTCCGCTTGGATGCTATACCCCAATATTCCTTTATCCCGGTACGAAGAATCGCCTGCAAGCCTAAACACAGTGTAAACCCTATGTCAAGCCCAAACGACTGAACCCTCTGTGAACCCCTTCACGTGTTTTCGAAATGGAGGGGGGTTCCTGGGGCTGCGTCCGCCAAGGAAGATTCTCCCCGGCAATTCCCTGAAAGGCGCACAGAGCAACATTGCCTGCCCCCCAGGACATTTCATCAGGGTTTCGACGGATTTCACTATGGCCCTGCTCTAAGTCACCCATAAAGCCTACATCCTACCCTAAACTCTGAAACTTTATTACAGCGGTAAAAACATCCGGATCCCTAAACCCTAAACCTTTGTGAAAGCATACCATAAACCCTGGCGAAAGCATCTAAAGGGGTTCCTTTCGTTGGGTCGTGGTTTTCTCAAGGGTTCGCTGCGGGCATTTCGGGTTTTAGGAGTAAGGTTTGGGGTAACCAATCTCAACCATGAACAAAGTTTAGGGTTTCGGGTTTAGGGCACCAAGAACCAGGCCTACCTGAAGCCGTTTACTCGCGCTTCTCAGGTGGGTCTGTGCTTTCGATCCTTTGAGGGGATGTTGGACTCGATGCGGTTGGCCTGTAGTCCTTGGTTCCAAAAGCCTATATTAGTCTAGGGTTCCTCATTATGGCCCAAGCTGTTCCTGAGAAGGTGAGTCTTGTGGGCTGCAGGTAGGGCTTGTGATTTAGGCGGCTAGAGGGCTGAGTACGAGTGTACGGGAGGCTCATAATTTCGATATTCCGCTGTGCAAGCTCTGGCTTGGTTGGCTCTCTCTTTCGTCTTGGTCCTGGATCAGCACGAATCCCATGCCAGACGCAGGTGACGAGAAGCTAGCCCAGACCCTAAACTAAGCTTTGCTCTGAACCCTACACTCTGCCAGCGTAGATCCCCAAACAGTGAGATAGTGACATACCAACTCGACGACGATGGTGAGCACTTCAACGACGACAACGACCAGGAGAGTACTAGGAGACGCCGGCAGACCACCAAAACGCCACACTCAGGCACCACCACGAGACCACGACCAGGAGACCACTAAGAGACCGGAACTATACCTTGAGACCTCCAAAATAGGGCTACCGCTGTGGTGCGCTGCATAGTTGTCACTGGTGTCCTACTTACTCTTTACAACGGGTCCACGGGGCGGTGTGCCTCAGAGAGCCCGATCCAGATTATCAATCTTAGCAAGTATGAAGCCTAAGTTTAGGGTTCATGGCTGAGAGTCTTTTGTTTGGTTTAGGGGTTTAGGGTTTAGGGGTTTAGGGTTTAGGGGTTTAGGGTTTTGTGGTTTCGGGTTTTGGGGTTTAGGGTTTAGGGCTTTAGGGTAGGGGTTTAGGGTTTATGGGTTTAGGGTTTAGGGCTCAGGGGGTGCATGGTTTGCTGAGAGTCTTTTCTTGGGCCAAAGGCGGCTTGAGAGCAAAATTCGAGTTTGGGTTGAATGTAGGTTTTTTGGCAGGAGGTGCGGTAGACTGTAGCTCCATAGTTTTGGGTTGGCGTTTTCATGCTGCATGGAGAGGAACGTGCAAAAAGTCCCACATGTGCAAAGTTTTGCAGAAACTCTTCAGTACTGTATTACTCTTGTCCCCAAACAAGCCATACCCAGAGACTCCAATATCCCTGAATTAAGGAACTCTGGGTACACAGGAGGTTCCGGCTACGCGCTTTCTGGAACGGCCTGTCCTTTAGCACTTCAAAGATCCCACCCACTCGTACATCAAAAAGCTCCGCGGGATGCCTCAACCCTAAACCCGCAACCCCCAACCCTCAACCCGAAGACCTAAACCCTAAACCCTCAAACCCTGAACCCTAAACCCTAAACCCTCAACGCGCAACCCTAAACGCTAAACCCTAAACCCTAAACCCTAATCCCCTAAACCCTCAACCCTCAATCCTCAACCCTGAACCCTAAACCCTAAACCCTGAACCTTCAACCCAAGATCCGAGGCGAATACCTATGATGTCCTCAACTCACCGAAGCTTTACGAGATCATGCCGCTCGGAGTTGCCTCGGTTTAGAGTTTAGGGTTTAGGGTTTAGGGGTTTATGGTTTAACAGAGGAAATTGCCTGGGCTTGGGGTTTAGGGTTTGGGGTTTAGGGGCTTGGGGTTTAGGGTTGAAGGGCATAGTAGTAGTATTCATACGTACCTAAACCCTACAATGTAGCACCTTGTTTGAAGTGAGATATTTTTTGGCTGGTATCCTAGATAAGGAGATGCTAAGGAAGGGAACCAACAGCAGGTGCTGCGTTGCAGGGGCTAGGCCTTCGAAGCACTGAACCCTACATCGCTCAGGCCGTATATACTGCTTGTTCAGCTTTCTGCTGTACCCGAAGCCGTCAGCGGTAAGCCAAAAACCCTATATACACCCTACACCTTAAGATGCTGTGCTCCTTTGTGTGGTGATTTCACAGCATGTGCGCAGCGCCGAGAACTCAGACAAGTCGAGAAGACGAAGGTCACATTAAACACCTAAAGAGAAGGTAACCCGTAGCCTCTTTGGGGTACTATAATCCCAGTAAAGTCTCATATACTTCCAAAGGTTAACCTTTAATTTCCCAGGATACTGAAAAAGTAAACAAACCCTATGCTCCAGACCCTGAACCTTCAGAGCAGCCCCAGAAACAAAAAAAGCTATTCAACTTCCATCGCAGCTTTCCACAATCGTCTAGGTTTCGGTCCGTAGAGCTTTACGGCGCAGGTGTAGGGTTTAGGG